ATGTTTGGGGTTTTTTCTTTTCCCTCAGCTTTTAGAAGATGATCCATGGCCACGACTGAATGCTTCTGAGCCTTTTCCTCCCCTCATGCACAGCAACATGATCTCAGAAAAATACTTAGAGCTGCCAAGCGAGATTGCCAAAAGCAATTTACCTTCATCAGGAGCCACCCTGAAAGATTCAGGCCCACAGGAAGAGAAGAGCAGCAAAGCGCTGGCTTTGAGGATACAGGAATCCTACAGCAATGGTTTGTCAGTCAGTCTCTCCCCTTCCAACTCTGCAAATTCAGGCATGGACCAAAAAGGCTGCAAGGTGTCCCCTAATGGCCAAACAAAAGCCCAAGATGCAGAGAGGACACCCACAGCGAACTTTAAAAGGACATTGGAAGAATCCAACTCTGGCCCAGCTATGAAGAAGCACAGACGTGGCCTGAGTCGAAGCCTTGGTGTCCAACCAGAAGGGATGTCCACCACCCCGCAGCGCAGGAACCCCGGCAAGCTGGCCATGCGCCGCAGCCTGCGCGGCCAGAAGAAGCTCAGCAATCCCCTCTTCCACCCCCCCAGGAAAGCAGTCTGCGTTTGCTGAAAGGGCCTTTTGTGTGTGGAAGTGTTTTTTGGTCTGGTTAACATTTTCAAGTTGGTGCAGAAGTTTGAAACTCTTCCTGTTTCATCTTTTTTTTTTTTTTAAAGTAGAAACTTTTGGTATCGAACAGCTTTATCCCAGCCTTGTACTTGCTTGTATTATAACTGTGAATTTTGTAGATGTGTAGGGTATAAGTCACTGTAAAATGTGTGTAAATTTGTATTCCTTCATATAAATGTAGTCTCTTTTCTTCCTTGTATAATTGTTACAGCGGGGCTAAACCTTGTTTAAAAAAAAGTAATCCTTTTTGTTAATTTACTAAAGTCATGAATTTGTATACGCTTCTTGTGATGAGAATTTCACAACTTTTTAACTAAAGTAAATTATTAAACAGAATGGAAGATATGTATTTTCGTAGTACTATACGTTCCACCTAAAGTGTGTCTTTTAGAATACACTAGGTCTATATTTTGGTTTTAAATTTTAGACTTTTCTCTACTCAGAAATGAAATGTATGTGGAAGCAGAGATGTTGAGTCTTGCTTTACACAACTCAATGTCGACTTCTTTATGTTAATTAAAATACTATGCAGTATCTTATTTAGTGTTATTTTTTGTAACATTAATCGTCAAAAGTATTTAGCAAAAAAAAAGTGTGTTTTAAAACTCTGACTCCCAAAAGCATTCTAGAAAGCCATTTCCATCCCCTCTTATAATTAATGATGGCATTTTTATCCAGGCATAAATGTATGCCTTACAGAGGCATGAATTTTCTGCTACTCCAATACTGATGGTGCTGCTAATACCTTTCAACATAAGTTCTTAAATTATTTTCTGACTATTTTCATTGAGTATGTGGACCATGTGTATGTTCACCTAAATAAAACATGTGAAAAGTTGATGGGGGTGCTTTTTTTTATTTCAAGCTTAAGTTCTGTTGAGTACATTTATCTTTATTTTGAGTTAGTCCAAAAATTGAATATTCCCCCTTCACTGTGGCTGGTGAAATGAGTCATCCCACATAGTTTTATTATGGGACTGATCTTGGCACTTCATACTGAATGTTTAGTATATAACCTGCAATTTTTTTCACATGGGGAAGTAAAAGGCCAATATTTTATTCCAATGACTAGGATGGCTGTTTGTAGAATCCAATTCTTTACTGCTGGAACAATAAAACATGGGTTGGAATCAGGCCTGCCATCTATATGTGTTACCATGGCTACAGAAATCCATGGGGGAATTGTACACTTCCTGAAAATGTTTAATTCTCTTTCATCCACCCTATGAAGGCAGCACTATCTTAGCAGATTCAAGTAAAGCTCTGCTCAAATTGGACCTTTCAAGAATTTCTGTGCATATGGGATGTAACTTCACAGTTTCAACTGCTGTTGAAATTAGACACCATATATGGGGGGAGTGAGTATAGAGAGGCTAATGACAGCAGCTTCCTCACAACAGTCTTTGCAGCAACTTAAGATAGTAATTGTATTTACAATTTAACCTCATGACATTCCACCTTTTAAAGATGAGTAGTCACAGTGAAGATGCCAGTATAACACATTACTTAGATGAGTATCTATTGGTGCTTATAATGTTAATCTGCAAAATGACTGGATCCATTTTGCCAGGTTTTTTTTCTCTATATAGAATAAGCTTTATATTTTCAAATTCTGCTACATTTGTGAGTGTGTCTTGTTCTCCCACATTTCATACTACTGTTCTAGACTCTCATGCCTCCAGATGGAGGGGCAGACATTGGCTTCTGTCACTTTTAAAAAAGACAAAATTAGTTTTTCCTGAGACAGGAGCTGCATGATTATGTTAAACATTCTGAGCTTCTCTGCAGTAGACATAAACTTGCTGATATAAACTGGCAGCAGTTTACTCTTGTACCCTTTGCCTACCTGCATTTCATTTGATGTCTCATAATGATGAAAGCTGAGACAGGGAAGTGTGGAAATGTACAGCCAACGTGTGAAAACAGTCTCGTTTTGGTAAAGTCAAGTTAGTTACACTGACTCTTTTTTCCTCTTCTGAAATAGAGCTCCAATATGAGCAAGAACATTATCGAGAAGCTGAAAGAATGTCTAACCTGCATCACCCTGTTGCTCTTTAAAAAAAAATAAAGCCTCTATCACGGCTTATTTTCCAGAGGACGATTCTCTCGGGCAATTTAGAGAAGCCACCACCTGATCTTTTGATCAGGATGAGGGGAACAAGGCGCGGTTACTCTCCTCCAGCAGGTGTAGGCGAAGGGTGCTGAGAATGCCTTATGGTTCCAGGAGATTCCCAGAGAAGGCGGCCCAATCCTGACTTTCAGGTGCTCGCTGTCTGGAAGCACGATCCGGAGGCCCGGACTCCCCGCTGGAAACCTGCCCGGGTGGGAACAGCTGCCGGCGGAGACACCCGG